GTAAGTACCTGCACACAGCAATTATTTCCGTATTATCATTCGTTAGATTGTCGGAAAAATGGGGATTTCATTTTGCCGCTGTCAGACCGTGAAGGCATCACGGCGGAACACGATGTCGTTATTTTCGAGAAGTAATTCAACAGACACACGTCAACCGTAGTCCTCCCGTCGACGTCGGTTCAACAGAGTAAAAACACAAATCTTTATCTTCACCGGGAAAAAAAACCAAATGTCTCTTTTTCTCCCAACATCTCTCCAAACAGGGCCGGAGATGTTTTCCTGTTTGCTTTCAGATGGAATTTCACGCGATAATCGTTCGTATTACAATAATGGGCTTTCGGCGAATGATGGATTCATTCTCAATCGCTTGGAGTCCAAATTGAATGTCGTTCTCCAGGGATATTCAGACTCGCCCGGGGTAGTTTATCAACGCAATCCATCACTCCATCCTTCCAAGGACTCAATAAAAAAAAAACTTTTTCCTCTCGTCGGCCCGCGATATTTACCATCGATTTTCGGATCTTCTCAAGGATCGATACTTTGGCCATTTCTGTTTAGGATACATGAACATTATATATCTAGATTTCAAGACCATTAATAGCCTTGTAAACATGTAAAGCTGCTCTTTTTGTTAGTAATGAAACCCAGGCAACAAACAGCAAAAAACGTAGAACACCAAGAATGGCCTATGTTAAAGTTAAAAAGAGAAACAAATTAATGCGAGGCTTCAATATTCACCTTATGAAGACTCGAGTAATTGCACCAATATGGATGAACCATGATGCCGTGCCATGGTAGACCGCCAATGAGACTAGGATTAATTTTGAAAGTTTTACTGGCAATAACCGAAGACGGAATTTATCTTCCAGGCTTCTATTTTAACTCCCACCAACTTTGAACATAAAATCCTGGTTAAAAATTGACTATAATAAGCTGTACCAGCGTATGCAGTAATGTATGCTTTTATAGTTCGGGGCGAAGCAGAGTTTAACAAATGCATCTTGGTTCGTTTAGAATAAACAGTTGCATGGAAAACTAAATATTACAATTCAGAAACTTATACTTTTTATTTTTAATTTTATTGTATTTAGTAACAAACTGCGAGAAGTGCAAAACATTTACATATATATTACATGGATATATATAAAAGTGTAATACACGCATTCGCGCGCGCGGACGAAATCAAGTAGAGGAGCTATCCAAAGATAACACTTCTAAATCATTTATTCATATAAATCACTCACCCTCTCTGAGAGCAGGTCACGTACATTTAGTTTGTATGATTGGTGCGGTTGTAACTGAGAATGGACCCTCGACGATAGATCTAAATATTCGTGATTGTAAGGTCTGGATTCTGTTGGATTGGAAGGTATCGTTGAACTCCATAGTTCTATGCCGTATGTCCATATTGGACTAGTTGTTGGAAAACAGCTAAACTTATTTTTATCATAATAAACCAAACAAACCTCCTGCACTACCATGTAGATTACTGAGTGCTATGAGTAAAATTTTCCAAAAATGCCTCAACAATAGGTTAACCCTACATATCATGGATCAAAAGCTAATAATGAACGAACAGCACGGGTTCAGACCTGGTTTATCTACCTCCACCCAGTTCATCCGTTTAGTTGATCATATTACAAGTATGTTCAACCTCAAGAAACACACAGGACTAGTTCTACTCGACCTTGAAAAGGCTTTCGACACTGTTCGGCAGGATGGGATTTTCTATAGGCTGATTGACATGAATTTACCATGGTATCTAGTCCAAGTAATTTCTTCTTATTTAAATTCCTTTCACTTCCGTGACCACCTAAAATTGTAACTTCTGCTCCTTTTCCTAAAACCGCCGGAGTGTCCCAAGGTTCCATACAAAGTTCAACACTTTTTCTTCCATTTCTCAATCCCCTCTCTAAACTGAAAAATTGTCAAATCGTATTGTATGCCGACTATAGCGCCCTATCTAGTTCGGCCGAAAGCCAGAAACAATTGTGAGCTAACTGAAGCTGCAAATAGGGTGTCTCGTTTCTGTAACCGGCGGAAACTAAAAATAAATTCCCCAAAAATTAGGCCATACTTTTTACCAGGCGTTGCCATATCTTTAGAGACCGAGCATTTGTTAACAGCTTGCAAATTCCATGGGATGAAAAAATCAAATACTTAGGCGTTAGTTTGGACGGCAAGCGCAATTTCTCTAGTCATGTAAATGAAATCATAAAAAAGGGAAGGTGGCCACGAGGTTCCTCTTTCCGCTTTTGCCCCACAACTCTGGACTCAATTTCAATAATAAATAACTCCTCCTGTACAAAGTTCTGGTAAAGCCTGTCCTCCTGTACGCCTGTCCCGCTTGAAATTAAACCTCCAGATCAATTTGGAAGAAGTTACAGTGGAAGAAGTTACAAAATAAATTTCCGAGGCTGGTAACCTCTTCGAGCTAAAATGACTAGACTAAAATTAGCCTCCACCATGAGAGTACAAACATGAGATTGATATACGATGAAGCTAAACAGCTCACTGAAAACTTTTTCAATAAACTGATTGAGCACAGAAATCCTACATGCCAAGGAATTGGAAGGTACCCTACGAATACCATTCCGAAGCACAGGAGAATAACTAATAATCAGGCTAATATATGGGTAAAAATGTGTATGTGTGTGCATGTATACACACTGCAATCTTGTAAATTATGTATACGAACATGTATATAAATGTATATACTTTGCATATTTGTTTGATTATTAATTTATTAATGTATTTATCTTATTTGTTTTTTAATTATTTATTCATTTACTTACTTGTTTATTGAATTTAATTAAACTCAAATTGATTTATTATGCCAAGTTACTGTTATATTTTATTATTTTTATGTTGTTATTATATATGGACTGGATTTACTCCTGTGACATCGCTAAATCTACTTAATTCCTTTACCTGATTTCATTTTGCTAATATCCTATTTTAGTTATTTTTATGGGTTTTTTGTAATTTTCCAAGAGCACCATATTGTTAAAACTTCTATGTTTAGACTAGAGATCAAATAGATCAATTATTTGAACGGAATGTAATACTGCCACATCCCCTGAAACTTAAATGAATGTGCTCTATGTAAATTTATTACAAATAAATCAAATCTATCTATTCATATTGGGTTCAGTATTAAGTTGTTTCCGAGCATTTTGTTGTCTAGTAATTTGTTAAATATTAATTATTTAGGTTCAGTTCTGTGTTGAAGGATTCCAGGTCAGTCGTCTTTCGGCATTCGGTAAGCCAGGTGTGTCTAGGCAGAGCCCTAAGTAGCAGAAGACGTTTTCAGTTGGAAGGGAGGTGAGGTTATAAGTCGGAAGTAGAGTAATGCGAGGAGGGTTTTAGCTGACTTTGTGGTGTTTAGCTTGTCGCCATTTTTTGAACCATTGTTCAACTTAATACAGTTGTGTCTGGAGGGTCCGGTGTACTATAACGTGGTTGGAGGCTGTCATCAGGGTATGTTAGAATAGTCGTGTGAGTAAACCTGACGGACGCCTGCGTCTGCTCTGGATGAGAGGATCGAATGCCTACTCCAAAGGACCTGTAGGTCAGGGAAACTTAAGTATAAGAAAGTTTGTAAAAATCCCCTTGTGTTTCAAGAGCGAACCATGATGCTAGACTGCGCCAATTGAAAGCCCGTTCGACATCTAGGAAGACAACATAAAAACATTTTTTCTCAAAGGTGGAAGTGATGACGCCCATTACACGATGACACCGTTGGATAGTGGAATAGTGACACCTGAATTCAAATTGATTATTTAGAATTATATTAGAGTATTCGAGGAGTACTGGCTACTAAGTAATTTATTGAATCAGATACTACACTCTTTTACGAAACTGCTAGTAAAATATTTTAATAAGCCGCTAATTTATTTTCTTGCCTTTAAGTTACTTTATTTCGGGCTAAGAATAACATTAGGGAAAAATGTATTAAATAAATGTTAGATTAAAATGGTAAAATGTTTATTGATATGGATTTAAAGAAAAATTATATTTTTAAAAATAGATTTTGAACTGACGAGATTTTTTTTAATTCCATTAATTATAGAGGTAATTATTATCCATGTTTTTGAAGGTAACCAGCCGGCAATATCAAATGTGGCAACTGGGTCGACAAAGAATCCTCACTGCAGGATGCTTTTTAATTTATCCCTGTTTTCCATCGTAAATCGGATTTGAACGTCAACTGTAAATTGGAAGGCCGAGTTAAGATCATTTGGAAAATGTCTCCTGGGAGGACGAGGATGGAGGATCGGGGGATGGGTTCTAACGAAAGGGAGCCGCTCGCCAAGTATTCCACGTAGGCCTGGATTGAATTAACAGTCGGCTCTGATATGTCCGCTCAGACTTGCGCCAATTAGGTCCGGTCCACTCCCAGGGCATACTAACTACTTCCTCACAACCTTTATCCAAGTTTATAATTTGACCGAAGGCGACATTTTCCAAGACTCATTAGAGGATGGATTTTAATAGACTCACCGCACCATTCAAGGGATTCGCCCACTTTTCTCCCCGGCTGCCCTTTCCCAAGAAGTTCGTACACCCTTGATATTATGAAAAAGCGCTGCTAAAACTTAATTTGCGACTGCAGTGGATTAGATATCTCGTAAATCGACTACTTCTAATCTATTTCGTTACTAAATTACATAAAATAATTTATTTATGAGATCAAATGAAAAATACATTAACTGTTGCATACACTAAAATCAATAAATATTTCCGTTTCCATAAATCAACTCTTCTTGTTTCCCTACAACCAGATCACGTACCCTGTGAATCTTTAATTTAATTTAAACTCTATTTAGTGAAACAAGCTCAACTACAATGACCAAGTAGTCTCTGAAACAAACCTTTAGCCAGCCTGTGTTGCGATCTGGGAGTGCTCTCTCCGAACTTCAGAGAGAACAATTTCCATCAGATATGCGGCGGTGTCCCTAGCCAAATCGGGTGGGATCCTCAAGTTCCAGTTCTGCAGA